CAGGTGCAGTACACTTCCCCAGATATTTGCACCATCCAGGTGCAGTACACTTCCCCAAATATTTGCACGAAATAGGCAAATAAATAATTGCAGGCTCACACCTGTAATCATATGTCACTTAAGAGGTAGAGACAGGAGAATCAGGAGTTCCAGGCCTGTTTCAGCTACACAGTAAAGTCAAAGCCAGCCTGAGCAATGTAAGATCCTATCTCAATATAAGAAAGTCAGAAGACAGTTCACAGAAAAGGAGAAAACTTTTGTGAGCATACTGATAAGAGAATTATATCTGGAAATTACATAGGATTCTGGCTGCTCAATATTAAAAAGAAACAAATAGTTCAATTAAAAAATGGACAGACTAAGCCGGGCGGCCTTTAATCCCAGCACTCGGGAGGCAGAGGCAGGTGGATCTCTGTGAGTTCAAGACCAGCCTGGTCTACAGAGCTAGTTCCAGGACAAGTTCCAAAGCCACAGAGAAACCCTGTCTCGAAAAACCAAAAAAAAAAAAAAAATGGACAGACTGGGGCTGGCATGAAGACTCAGAGGTTAAGAGCACTGGTTGTGCTTCCAGAGGACCTGGGTTCAATCCCCAATATCCACATGGCAGCACACAACTGGTTGTAACTCTAGCTCCAAGAAATCAGACACCCACTTTGGATCTGTGGGTTACGAGCCATACATGTAGTGTACATATATACATGCAGGCAAAATACCCATACACATAAAATATTAAAATGAAAAAAGATGCCATGGATGTGATATAAACAAACATTTCTCCAGAGAAGATATACAACTGGCAACGGACACAAGAGGCCATGCTCAGGATGACTAGTCACTAGGAAAATGCAAACCAAAACTGCAGGAAGTGTCACTCCACACCACTAGAATGAGGTTATCAAAGACTTGTGGGGACTAGAGAAACCAGACCCTTCACGGTGCCTGTGAGCAGAAAACAGATCAGCTTCCTCAGACAGCCCCATACAACCCAGCAGGACTACTCTTCACTACCTTAACCAAAAGGAATGGAAACTGGTCTCACTCGGCAAAACTGTATGTGAGCTTCCATAGCCGCATCCTTCTAAGAGCCAAGAGCCAAGTGCAAACAATCTGAAGTCCACCCCTGGTGAGCAGACAGCAGGTGAGCAGACAGCAGGTGAGCAATGCCCACAGCAGAGCACCACGGGGACACAAGAAGAAATAAGCTACAGATTAGGCTGCTCCATGGAAAAATCTTGAAAACAAAAGTTTTAGTTAACAAAACTAAAAGTTTTATGGTTTCATTTGTATGAAATACAAATAGTGGGAAATTCAGAGTGACAGGTGTGTATCCCCACACTTGTGAAGTAGAGGCAAGGGGGATCAGATGTTAAAGGCTATCCTGGGCTACATAGTTAGTTCAACACCTGCTGCACTACATAAGACACTGTCTCAAAGAATATAATAGAAACAAAATCAGACAGAAAAGAGATTAACTGTCTGACACTGTGGGGAGGGGGACAAAAAGGGATTGCTAATGGCTCGGGATTTCTTTCTAAAACAATGAAAACTTTCTAATACTGACCACAGTGAGATCTGTACAATTCTGTCACAGTAATAAAATAAACTTTTAACATCTCCTTTGCACCAAGCAGCGGTGGTGGCACACACCTTTAATCCCAGTACTTGGGAAACAGAGGTAGGTGGATCTCTGTGAGTTCAAGACCAGCCTGGTCTACAAAATGAGTTCCAGAACAGCCAGAGCTACTGCACAGAGAAACCCTATCTGAAAAAAGCCAAAAGAAAAGAAAAAAAAAACAAAAACAAAATTTTTTCCAAAGAGATCTAAATTATTTAAAAGACAAGCCACCCTTAGATCTGGGTTTAAAATTACAACATAAAACAATCAATTATACATTTGAACATTAGACAGCTGGTGCTATTGAGGTATCACTGGTTTCTTATAGGATCACAAAATGAATTCCTTTTTAACATGATATGAGAATATATATATATAGTATCTGCAGATGAAATGGCATGGCACTCAGGAGGGGATAAGCAGTAAGGGGTACAGATGAACCAGTCACCAGGAGCAACTACCAAAGCAGGGTGACAGCAGAGCTCATAAACAATTATACATCGCAATGTCTTAATATCCTTTGTTTTTCTTTTTCATTACACCATGTATCGCAGGCTAACCTAGAACTTGATCTATAGACCTGGCTGGTTTAAAGCTTGTAGTAATCCTCCTGCCTCTGCCTCTTGAGTGCTGGGAGGGCTGCAATTACAGACATGAGCCACTAACACACACCTGGCATGAAAATTCTCCTTGAAAAGAGAAGGAAATTCCTCCGGCACTTAAAAATTCAACATGCATCAATCATCAATCCCACGGCATGGGGCGGGGCCACTTTCAACCACAGTCTTCTAGAAACAAAAATACTCCGAGCTTGGATACAGTATGGAGCACATGGTTAGCAGGTTAGGGCCTGGGTTTGACCTCCAGACTCTCCCTCCCGCCCTCAATGGATCGCTACTGAATCAATGACAATATTTCAAAACAGAACGAACTTCAAATCCAGGCTAGGATACGGCTATGGACCCTCGACATTGCACTTAGTTACAAACAACAAAAGCAAAGGATCTCTAGGAAACACGCAGTAGGACAACCCGGATGCGGCCTGCAGGAGGCCCCTGTTGCAGTCTCCTTTTGCATGTGATTTATTTGGCTTTAGACTTAATGATTTTTTTAACTTCCTGAAACTTTTCTTGAATTTCTATTACATTTTTATTTATTTATTTAATGTGTACACAGTATGCCACAGTGTTTCTGTGGAGGTCGGAGGACAACCTGCGGGAGTCAGGTCTCTCCTTCCACCACCTGGGGCCCAGGGTTATAACTCAGGTTATCAGTTGGCTGCAAAAACTTGTGTCTGAGTTTGACGAGTTTGACACTAAGTGTCTCCTTGAAAGATAAACTGATCAATTTCCTTTGGTTTCTCAATCTCAGTCCCTCCTCCAATGAAAGCACAAGCATTTTCTCGGTAGAATCTGAGGCAGGGCAGGCCTTCTGGTCACATTGAAAGGAAAAGGTGAGGACTAAGGCGACTTCAGTGGGAGGACGGGGGCTCAGCACGTACGAGGCTCTGGGCTCACCCTCAGCATCACCAAGAATTTCAGAGTGCCTGGTTCCCACTGTTGTCCCAGACGGGCCAGGAAGCAGACCTGTCCACAATCCCCACTCCACCTTTATGGCAACACTAACAATGAGCAACCTCCAGCCATTACTAGTCTAGGAGGCAGATGCTATCCCTAACATACACTGGCTGGAGGGACGACTCAGTCAAGAAAGCATGGGGGCCTGAGTCAGGATTCCCAGCCCCATGGGTAAAGCCTGGCATGTAGAGTGTGCTTCCAAGTTCAGCACTGGTGGACTGGGGCAGAGACAGGAGAACTGCTGAGACTCTAGGACCAGACAGTCTAGCTGGAATGGTGAGCTCTGGGACCAATCAACAAACAGGAAGAAAGCAAGAGCGAAACATCCAAAGTCGATTTCTGGCCCTCCTACACATGTGCACAGGCAAACACACCTGTACACCCACACACGTGCATACACACACTAAATTAATTAGCTAAAATTATACAGCTTTATGTGATAGAACCAGGATTTGAATCCAATATGTTGGGCTCCATCCCCTCTTGGTGAGTGCCAGCTCACATCTTTGCTGTGTATCATTAACATTCAAGGACCTGAAACCTTAATTAGACCCAATGATTTGCTTTGGCAGATCAAGTAAAGTTCCTCCACCAGGAAAACCCCTCCAGCAGCCCGCAATAAGACCACTAGTTCTTATCATAAACCTTGCTCTTGGAGAACAAAAAGGATCTAACATCCTTTTACAAATGCACACAAATAACTTCAAAGCTAAAACTAAAGACTCTCCTTTACCCCAACACCCAGTCCGCCCCTGAAACATCTGAATGAAAGGCCAGGAAGGGACAAGGAGTGGGGGCTCTAAAATTCAACTACACAGTGAGCAAAACTGCGGGAATACAGATCCCTGTGTCCAGCAAGAGAGTCAACAGCCGAGACGACGCTTTCCGAGTCACTCCCATCTCTCCATACAACACCCAGGAATGACTTAGCACCAAACTGCAGCAGGACTTCAGAGGGAAGCAAGGATGGGGACAGACTCAGACTCGGGGGACTAAACTTCGGTATCACTGAGCACGTGCCGTCCACACCCATCTCCCTCTGACTTCCAGCCTCTCGACCCGCACCACCTCCCCCGCTCGTGGTACTGGCTTGGGCAAGGCATCAGTCCCATGCAGGTTCAGCATTGGGCAAGAAGGGAAGGGTTTTAGGACACAACCAGAGACCTCAAACGATGAACTGGGGGAAGAAATGGAGAGAGCTGGAGCATGAACCACTGCCCAAATACAAAAGGCACAGTCGGGAGAGTTAAGCTGCGAGACTAATGGGTCGGCTCTGAGGACCTAGGTACTGGGAATAAGAAGGACGGAAGACAAAGCGGCCGCAACACGCCCTCAGGAGACCTGGAGCGGCTGCTCCGGTTTGCTGTGGACAGGGGTTCGGGCCAGCAAACCCACGGTGGAGAGAGGCTCTTTGCCTTGGAGAAAGAGTAGTCATTGGACCGGAGAATGACTGAAAACCAGGGGCCGGTAACTGGAGCTGGGTCCCAGAGGGTGACAGAAGAAGAGGGGCTGAGGCACGCACTAGAGAGCTGAGAGTCCGGGGTGTGGAAACCTGCCAAGGGGATCAGCGGGCTGGGAGAGTCTGGGAGGGACTAAGGAGCAAGCTCTGCTCTAGGAGTTGGCTGTCAATGAAGGGGCGAAGGGACAGGAGCGCCAGCCCAGGGAAAGTGTGCAGAAGACCCAGGGCCAGGGCTCCGGAGCCTGCGAACGACCCCGCGGGAGTCCGAAGGGTGTGGGGACACAGGGCCCGGAGCGTGCGGCTGCAGCGGCACCACCGGGCGGGTGACAGCGGCGGCGCCGCCACTCACCGCTCATGTTGCCGCTCCCGGGGCCGCTGTCTGCCGTGCCGCCGCCGCCACCGCCGCGTCTGCAGCCGCCGAGCTCCACACAGGCCGGGTGAGCGCGCCCCGCCCGCTGGCCCCGCCCCGGAAGCACGGACCCTCCGAGGGCCCGCCTCCCGACCCGGAACCAAAATACCCTCACGAGTCGAGGCCCAAGGGAGGCGGGGTGAAGACCCGGGACGTGACGAGATAAACGCCTCCCCATCCCCGAGCCAGGAAGAAGACATCAGTCTAAATTGTATTCGGGACAAGGATGCGGATAATCACACTGAGAGCCTGGAATAGTGATGCGAAAGAGTTGCGGGGGGAGGCGGAGAGTAGTGGACTGCAGAGCCTGGTGGCACAGGCTTTAATCCCAGCATTCAAGGCCGAGAAGAGCCTTGGTAGAGCACGTTCCTTACTTTCAGATGTATCGTGGATAAGGCCCTAGGTTCAATCTCCAACGTCAGAGAGACTGTGTCTGATGGGCCAACGTAGAAGATAAGCAGTTCCAGAAGGAACAGGTCAAATTCCTTACCAGTAAGGGTTGGTTGGAGCACAGGGTGAGTGAGAAGCGGGGTTGAGAAGGAGGATCTTTTAAGATAGGGGAACCCTTTTGTAGGCAGGAACGTTTGCTTTCAGACTGCCTGCCTGTTGCTGAATGGGAGAAGAGAAGGCCATGGCAAGACTTTAAACTGAGCGATGCAATCAGAAATGGACTTTAAGAAAACTTCACGGCAAAATCTCCTGAGTAAATTGGGAGCGTGGGGGGGGGGGGGTCACCGGAGAGGGTAGAAGTGGAGAGGGGACGAAGGGAGGGGACTGGAGAAAAATGTATAGCTCAATAAAAACAATTAAAAAAAAAAAAGAAAACTTCACGGGCTGGGGAGATGGCTTGGCGGTTAAGAGCAGTGGCTGCTGCTCTCTCAGAGGACCTGGGTTCAGTTCCCAGCACCATGTGGCGGCTCACAGCTGTTGTAAACCCAGTTCCAGGGGACAACACCCTCACAAAGACGTACATGCAGGCAAAACAGCAATGCACGTGAAAGGAAAATAAATAAATTATTAAAGAAAACTTCACTTGCACTTGCTTTAACCCCAGCACTCATCAGGTGGAGACTCAGAGGGAACTTGTCTCAAAGAGAAGTCAACTTTCTAGAATGAGAGTGGATTGTAATGGGGCTGGGGAGAATGGCCGCGATAGGGTGCCATTCGGGAGGTGCGTTGGCAGCGACAGGGTGCCATTAGGGGAGTGTGATCGGTGTCCAGTGACACTGCAGGTGACAGTGAGCGAGGAAGGCTGAGTGCTGTGAGAACACAAGTATTATGTTCACAGCATCGGGGAAGTTCAGGGTTTGAGCCAAGCGGTGATAGCGCATGCCTTTAATTCCAGCACTCGGGAGGCAGAGGCAGGGCAGTTTCTGTGAGTTCTGTAGACCAGCCAGCCTGGTCTACAGAACAAGTTCCAGGACAGAGGGCTGTTACATAGAGAAACACTGTTTTGAAAAAAAAAATGAAAATAAAAAGCCGGACTTGAAACACTATTTTCCTCCTGTTGGGTATGAGCCTGAGGCTGGAGTCATCCAGCCTGGGTAACTTAGAGTCACTCTCTGTCAGAAATATAAAAATAATAAAGAGCTAGCTAGAGGATGTAGCTCAGTGGGCAAACACAAGTGTGAGGCCCTGGATTTGATTCTCAGTGATACAATGGGAAAAGAGTCTTGGAACTTCCCCTTCTCCAGTGGACTTAAGTCCTGGTGAAATTTCACATGGCTTTAACTAATCTTCTTCCATCTGCAAGGGCACAACCAGAAAGCTCTCAGCAGATGCTATCCTCTTCATATTGAGCTTTCCAGCCTCCACAGCAGGCACACGGATGGGGGTGGGGGAAGGTCATGCATCTGTACCTCCATGCTGGAGGCTGGAACAGGAGAATCAGGAGCTCAAGGCTAGCTTATAAAGGAAGACACACTGTAGTCCTTTATACATTTATACAAATGTCCTGTGACAGTTCCACAGAATAACTCACTAGCTTTTACCCTGCTCTGATTCAGTGTCTGTCTCCCTCCCCCACCTCTGTGTGTGTGTGTGTGTGTGTGTGTGTGTGTGTGTGTGTGTGTGTGTGGTGTAAGCTGGAAGCTTAACCTGGGACCTTGAATATAGTAGGCAAGTATTCCACCACTAAAGTACATTCTCAGCCCTGTCAGCAACTGTAGGATGGAGATAATAATTGTCTGTCTTCCTTATAGGATTTTGTCTGTGTGAAAGGACTTGAAGCAGTCTCTGGCACCATTAAGCCTACATAAGTGATCATACACTGCGCTTGAGCCGAAAACAGTAACAGGTTCCTGCTTGTCGCAGTTAGCCGTGGCACATGGTTTGTGTAAGCATACTAATGTCTGCTGCTGCCGTAAGCTGGGGACCTAGAGAACCTGTGCACTGCAGGCTTCTCCTGTTTACCAAAAAACATGGGATAACCTTGCTTCCTTTGGCCGTCAAGAGAACCCAGTTTGTCTTGAAATACACCACATCGTGGGTGACTCCATAGAAACATGACACTCTAGGGCCTATAGAGGGGTTTTTTGTTTTGTTTTGTTTGTTTTTTAAGAGAGAGATGAAACTTCAGTCAAAACCAAGGAATCTTCCACAGTTAAACTCCCAATGATAAGATGGGGGAATGAATCTAATGTAAAGAGTTTATTAAAGGACGATAGGCTATATCCCAGCTGATAAACATCCTAAAGACATGAAAAGCCTCATCTCTCCCTCTGACAGGCTCGCAAAGTGGCTCTGTACCAGACAGAGGTTCATTCTCTAGAATGAATTGGTTTCTCCATCCCAGTGACACTTTCCGAAGCAGTTGGCATATTCTTGCCATAGTCACTTGTTTTCGTGGTGACGAGAATGGTTGCGCCCTCCTCCATGGCTGGAAGTGGGAAGTGGTCAGAATCAACCTTCGGGATGCTCTCAGCACAGTCCTCACAGGTGCATTCCTCCACCGTATACTCCAGGCTTCGGGGAAAAATCCTTACGTCATCAGCCCTGCTCTTCATCAGGTCAGAATTGGCCATGTCCGGCAGAACGGATCCTGATGGTACAGACACAGGCATTCACCTGAAGGTCAGCGATACTGTCACAGCGTGCATGGCCCTGAGGCAGATGGCTGTTTTGGGTATATGGACTTTTTACATCTTGTCTTATGTTAACCACATTTAAAACTCAGATTTCACATGAGATTATACGGACTCTATAAAGACAACAGAAGGGACACAGAGACAATGGGCTGGATTCAAAGACAGCCCCTGCTATCTCCAAACAGGTGGAGAGTACCCTTGTTGGCAAAGCCACAAACAGGGTCAGTCCATATACCTATTATCCACTTGGCTTTTGCAAGTTCTGAGGCTTTGACCTCATCTTCCACAGGAAATTAGCATATGTCACAGCGCGTCAGAGTCAGCCTCTGAGTGACGCTTCGGAATACAGAAGCAAAGGTGACACACCTGTAATCCCAGCCACTCAGGGAACTAAGGCAGAGAGAGTTTGGAGCCAGCATATTCAAGAAAGGCCCTGAGTTCAATTCTAATATAAGATGGGGGAAGAATATAGAAGGAATTTTTTTAGCTAATCTATTGTGGTGGGAGGAGTCACATCACAGTGCACCTGTGAACATCACAACCACTTATGGGAGTGGATCCAACTCAGCCTCACATGCTTGGTGGTAAGTACCTCCATCCTTCAGGTGTGTTCTGTGGCCTAGTTTTTTTGACATGACATCTTATGGAGTATTTTTCAGTACATTAATTTGTGGAGGGAGGGGGACAGGATCTTGTTCTGTAGCCCAAGTTAGCCTAGAACTCTCTGTAGCCCAGGCTGGCCTCCTCATTTTATTCTATAATGAATGTGAGTATATATGTACCATGTATACTCCTGAGTTCCCTGGAACTGAAGTTACAAAAGGTTGTGAGCTGCCATGTGGATGCTGGAAACCAAACTGTGATCCTCTGTAAAAGCAGCAAGTGCTCTTAGCCACTGAGCCATCTCTCCAGCCTGTGGCCTCAGACTGTTGGTGACCCTTCTGCTTGCTTCAGCCTCCAGGGAACTGATGTTACAGGTGAGGGTCACACTCCTGGATAATTGATTTGAAAATAAATTTCCTTCGATCCCATAGATTAATTCCCAGTTTGTCTCCACTGCACATCTGTGCAGAATGAGTTTTCAAAAGCACTTATTGTGCCTGGTGCTGGTGGTGCATGACTTTAATCTCAGGTGCTGGCATCAAGCAGGCTAATCTCTGAGTTCAAGACCAGCCAGGTCAACAGAGCTGACAGGACAGTCAGGGCTACACTGGAAAACCTTGCCTTGAAAAACAAACAAAAAAAGGACTTTTTACACAAGCTTGAGTTCAGATTCTCAGAACCCACATCAAAAAATTGGGTGTGAGCTGGGTGGTGGTGGCGCATGCCTTTAACCCCAGCACTCGGGAGGCAGAGGCAGGCGGATCTCTGAGAGTTCGAGACCAGCCTGGTCTACAAGAGCTAGTTCCAGGACAGGCTCCAAAACCACAGAGAAACCCTGTCTCGTAAAACAAAAACAAAAAAAAAAAAAGATGCTGCTTACAGAACCACAGGATGGTGGTTAGCAGATGCAAGGAGGTAGAGAAAAGAGAAGCAGAGGCTCAGAAGGCCAGAGCTGCAGTTCCAGCAGATGAGGATGAGTCAGCCTGTGTCTAGATGACCAGGTGACATGGTGCTGCGAGCAGCAGAGCATAGGGTCCAGCCAGCCCCACCACCCAGAAGAGTGCTGAGGGCCGGCCCATCACCCAAAACAGTCAACTCTGTAAAGATGTGGATATGTTGGGGGGTTTTTTGTTTGTTTTTTTAAAGATTTATTTATTATGTATACAACATTCTGCCTTGATGTATGCCCACACACCAGAGGAGGGTGCCAGATCTCAGTACAGATGGTTGTGAGCCACCATGTGGTTGCTGGGAATTGAACTCGGGACCTCTGGAAGAGCAGCCAGTGCTCTTAACCTCTGAGCCATCTCTCCAGCTTCCTGGATATGTTGTTTCACAGTTTCCCTATGTGTCTGTAGTCAGAACATTGTATCATGTACTTTACATATGTGCAGTTTGTATGTTAAAAAATTTTGATGGGCCGGGCGGTGGCGGCGCACGCCTTTAATCCCAGGGAGGCAGAGGCAGGCGGATCTCTGGGAGTTCAAGGCCAGCCTGGTCTACTAGAGCTAGTTCCGGGACGGGCACCAAAGCTACAGAGAAACCCTGTCTCGAAAAACCAAAAAAAAAATTTTTGACGGGCAGTGGTGGCACATGCCTTGAATCCCAGAAACAGGCATATCCCTGGGTTCAAGGCCAACCTGATCTACAATTTTAGTTCCAGGACAGCCAGGGCTACACAGAAAAACCCTGTCCAAAAAAAAAAAAAAAATTTATAGCTGAAGAGCTGACTCGGTGGTTAAGAGCCAGGATTGCTTCCCTAGCAACCACCTATAACTCCTACTACAATGGGGTCTGGTGCCCTGCTCTGACATGCAGAGGAGTGCCTGGATATATACACATATAGATATATGTGTGTGTATGTATATATACACACACACTCACATACATAAAGCCACTCTCAGACACACACATATACATATAACTAAAAACAATTAAAATTCAGTCTCTTACCTACTGACCACATGGAGGACAGAGTGAATTACCCACCGCTCCACCTGCACTGGAGAGCACTGGGGTAGATGCTTTGCACTTTGTACACAGAAACCAAATGCATAAAGAAGCAGGACAAGGGCTCAGAAGATGGCTTAGTGGTATAAGAACTTGCAAGTCAGAGGACCTGAGTTTAAATCTCTAATACTCTGGTAACAAGTACATGCCTGTAACCTCCTAATGGCAGAGATGATATCATAGCTGCAACAACATAATTCAGTCCATTGAAAGAGCCTGTCTTTTTTTTTTTTTTTGAGACAGGGTTTCTGTAGCTTTGGTGCCTGCCCTGGAACTAGCTCTTGTAGACTAGGCTAGCCTCAAACTCACAGAGATTTGCTTGCCTCTGCCTCCCAAATGCTGGGAGGGACTAAAGACATATGCCACCACCATCTGGCCAGAGAGCCTATCTTGTGGCAACAATGTGAAAAGCAATAGAAGAAGACACCTGATGCCCTGCTCCAACCTCACAAGCAAGTGCACACTCACATGCAGGCACCACACACACCAAAAGAAATAATAGTTAATTAAAAGATGTGGGTCAATGGCCTCTATGTGTCTGAGAATCAGATCGTGGGGAACGGTGCTATAAAAAGTTTTAGCTGAGAGGTTCTCGGGTGGAGTATTTGCTTCTCTGAGATTGGTACACTGTTCCCTAGTAATTATTTTTGAGATGGCTAGTGAAACCAGGAGCAACTGGTTATTCATTTCTAGTATTTTAGGCAGTAAAATGTTCACAGTGCTTTTAATTGCGTTAAAAGCATGACCAGGGATCTTGCCAAATACACCTAGCCTGAGAGTGCCTGGCTCTCAGTGTGCGAGAGCAGAGTATCTCATCAGTGTGCTAACTTCGGTCAAAAACACTTTCCAAGGAAGCCTCCAGAGCAATTACCAAGAGAAGAACTGGGGGGACGTGGGCATCTGAAGGAGAGCGGCAAAGTAACTGCCAATGCCAGGATTTCTCTGTTGTTTGTTTGTTTGGGAGGGCAGTGGCGGCTGTTTTTATATTTTGTTTTTAGACATGGTCTCATGTAGCCCAATCTGACCTCAAAGTCAACATGTAACTGAAGATGACTTTGACTCCCTGATCCTCCTGCCTACACTACCCAGGTGCTAAGATGACAGGCATCTGCCACCACACCCAGCTCAAAATTTCAACTGTCCACTAACACATTTGAAAGTGCTGTAACCAAAAAGGAAAAAAAAAAAAGGCCAACGTTAAAAAAGGAAAAGGAAATGAAACTTGGAAGAACCACCCCTACAGAAATAGATTTCAGAGTCACCATCAGACTGACCTGGGTTTTGAAGTTTGTCCTTCAGTGCGTCAGAGTTCATCTTCCTCAGCAAGAATGTGAGTGTAAAAAGAGCCAGAGAAACAGTCAAGGTCAAGCCCAAGAAGGTCCAGAGAACAATATGTATCCCTTTCATCGAGCTGGTCATGCCTTTAGTAAAAGATTTGTCAAAGAGACACGAAGCCAGAGTTCATCATTCACATCAAGTATGAATTTTCCAACACTCCCCTATTGCATATTCATGAATACCTTACTTGGTGGGGGGTGTTTATTGAGACCAAATCTCATGTAGCCCAGGCTGGCCTCTGACTCATGAGTCTCCACTTCCTATGTAAGTGCTGGGATTACAGAACCGCAGCACTGTGACCATATGCACTGCTGGGGTCAGAGGCCAGCGCTGTGTGCCAGCCAGGCCCTCTACCAGGTCCTCTACAGCATGGCTCCTTCTGTTGTTTTTGAGACAGAATGTCACTTTAACCCAAGCTGCTGAGGAATTCACTGTGTAGTCCAGGCTAATCTTAAATTTGTGTGGTTCGAGACCACTTGGGGTTGTTGAATAACTCTTTCACAGAGCTTACATATTAGATATTGACATTAGGATTCATAACTAGCAAAATTACAGTTATAAAGTAGCTACAAAATAATCTTATGGTTGGGCTCAGCACACCATGAGGAATTGTATTAAAGTGTTGAAGCATTAGGAAAGTTGAGAACCAGTGAGTTAGAAGCCGGTATTGCCCATCCCTGACTTCACCAACATTGACTTTAAATTCTAAATACCATTAATTAAGGCTTGATGAAATCTTCCTCACTATTGGTGCCAGATAAAGTTGAGTTTGGTTTTGAATAATTCTTTTGCTCCATGAGACATTTAAATCATTGCTTGATTTCTGATTTTGATTCAGGGGGGAAAAATCTCCCCACCCTCTCCATAGCTTTTATTCTCTGGTAGATAAACAGGCACTATCACGATATCACGAATGCCTCCCAACAAGAAGCACTTAATGAAGAGTCTCACTTACTTGGGTTGCAGTAAGGCTGACAGGGTACAGGAGGGTTGGAACATCGAAGGTGGCAAGGTTTGCAAGCATGCAGCAGACTGTCAAAATATTCACTGTGGAAGCACTGCTGAGCCATGTGCGACTTGATCACTGAAAGAAATGGAAAGAGCAGACAGAACAGCCCGGAGGACAAGCAAATTCCTAGTCAGGGTTCCCTGTGAATAGCGGTCAGGGACGTTGAGGGGGAAGAAATGACCCCCACCTTGTTGGTTCCTCTGAGGACCGCGGGTATTGTGGCGAGGGATTTGAACACCTCTCTGGCCCTCTGTCTCTAAGAACCTTGGGTGGAGCAGTGGGGTGGTAGATCACAGCAAACCGCACCTGAAACAGAGACTGCCTATTTATAGAGGAAATCTCCCATCCAGGTGACAGTTGCACAACGTGAGCAGGCTTAGGGCATCAAGCAGAAAGTACAGTAGCCATTTAGGGACCCTCTGTTTGTGGGCTGTGCCGTGTGACAGGAGACGGACGAGATGAGAGCTGTGTCCCTTCCACACTTAGAGTCAACAGGGAAGGTAGACCATAGCCTGTAACTGGAGGGTGGTAGTGACTGACAGAAAGGAAGACAGAGGGAGGAGCCAGTCAAATATGACTACCAGTTATGCTTTGACATCTGGGATTAAAGAAAGAGGCTTGAAAGAAAGATTGTTTGGGGGCATTATGTTACGTCAGTAAAAGCCATCCTAGCTGGTTGTGGTGACGCGTGCCTTTAATCCCAGCACTCTAGAAGAGAGGTAGACAAATCTCTGAGTTTGAAGCCAGTCTCACCTCTAGGGTTACATAGAGAAACCCTGTCTCAAAAACAAAGTAAAGGGCTGGAGAGATGGCTCAGTGGTTAAGAGCATTGCCTGCTCTTCCAAAGGTCCTGAGTTCAATTCCCAGCAACCACATGGTGGCTCACAACCATCTGGAATGAGGTCTGGTGCCCTCTTCTGGCCTGCAGACATACACACAGACAGAACATTGTATACATAATAAATAAATAAATATTAAAAAAAAAAAAAAAAAAAACAAAGTAAAACAGCAACCCAGTATATATCCATGAAAAGAAATGAGCCTTTACCATCCTCCAGAAAATGTGTAGGGCCTTAGATTGATGACTTATGCACATACGTCATATCCTATATAATCCTGTAATGTCAGGGTTAAGGATTCAAGATTGAGTGTCATTGTGGTACATGCCAATAGTACCACCATTTATGAAGCTAGGACAAGAGGGTCTAAAGTGGAAAGCCAGCCTGGGGTACATAGCAAGATCCTGTCTCAAAAATAAAAATTTTAATTGAAGCTGGGCAGAGTGTCTATAGTCACAGCTACCTGGGATGTAGAAGGTAGCGAATCCAAGGCCGACATGAACTACACTGTAGCAACCTTGTCATAAAACTGCATGATGAGGTGCGGAAGATGTTTCAGCAGTTGCACTGGCTATTCTTCCAAAGGACCTGGGTTTGATTTCCAGCACCTACGTGGAGGTTCACAACCAACCATCTGTAACTCAAGTCCCAGGGGATCCAGTGCACTTGCCTGGCCTCATGGGCACCAGGCACACACATGGTGCACAGATACACACGTAGACAAAACACCCATACATATAAATGCATTTTTAAAAATACATGATTGAGCCAAGCGGTGGTGGCACATACCTCTAATCCCAGCACTCTGGTGGCAGACGTAGGAGAATCTCTGTGAGTCTGAAGCCAGCCTGGTCTTCAGAGTAAGTTCCGGGACAACCAGGGTTAACAGAGAAACCCCATCTCAAAAAGTCTAAATAAATACATGATTGGATCCATACCAATCCTGGAAACTTAAGGGTTTGTGTGGCTTGCTTGTTCCAGCCTGGATAAATACCATGTGAACAGAATCTTATATAGTAAGCCTGGAAAGATGCCTCGGTGGATAAGAACACTTTCTGGGCCATCATGAGAAGTGGAGTTGAAATCCTAGTGCCCACATAGCAAGTTGGATATCCAGTGTAGATTATAGCACCATCTGGGACCTGCAGTTTTACAGCCAGGTTGAGAAAACACGGGCCTCAGCTAGAGGAGAGTTCTTGTCTCAAAGGAGTGGGAAAGAGTTCTAATAAAAGACAGCTGGCACCTGTCCTGCAGTACACACAGGTGCATGCACCAGCACACACATGCACAAACAGAGACATACACAAATTAAATATATAAACCTTTTTTAAAGTTTAAGTGTCAACATTGCATGGTAGCACATGCCTATAATCCCAACCTCCAGGAAACAGGTAAGCAGATCTCTGTGAGTTCAAGGCTACCCTTGTCTACATATCAAGTTCCAGGACAGCCAGGGCTCTGTCTCAAAACACTACTAATGTCACCAATTTTAATACATTTCTATAAGCCAAACAAAATCTGTGCTCCATTGTTGACATTTTTAAAAAGTACTAATGAGCAGTTAGAAAAAAGGTTAGTAGTTCAGATGCCTAAAGACAATCTTAGCCTCTGATGTGTCCCAGATGTGCAGAGGCTGCTGTGTGTTCTGCCCAATAAGCCCCTGATGGGCAGTGTTCCAGAGGGGAAAGGAACAGAGGAAAGACAGATGGACAAGCTCGGGAAGAGCTTCTTCCTTGTAACTTAGTTAGAATCTGTAACATGAGGGCTGGGATTATTTTTTTTTTCAAATATTTATTTATTTATTATGTATACAATATTCTTTCTACATGTATGCCTGCAGGCCAGAAGAGGGCACCAGACCTCATTACAGATGGTTGTGAGCCACCATGTGGTTGCTGGGAATTGAACTCAGAACCTTTGGAAGAGCAGGCAATGCTCTTAACCACTGAGCCATCTCTCCAGCCCGAGGGCTGGGATTATTGGGGTTTATGTCCTGCCCAGTTCCCACAGCCAATAAGCCCCCAAAGAAAACCACACAGAATTCTACATTAATCATAAACTGATTGGCCCATTAGCTCAGGCTTCTTATTAACTCTTGTAACTTATATTAACCCATTCATATCTATGTCAACCGCATGGCTCAGTATTTTTTTCAGTGGGGCAAGTCACATCCTGCTTCTTTGGTGGTCTGGGCAGGAGTGTGGGAAATGGGCTTCCACCTTCCTAGAATTCTCCTGTTCTCATCGCCCTGCCTCTGCTTCCTGTCTGGTTGACCCACCTATACTTCCTGCCTGGCCAATCAGCATTTATTTAAAACATGATTGACAGAATACAGACAATTCTCCCGCACCACTTGGGGGGGTCTAAAACCAAACGTTGGGTGCCAGATGAAGGCATAAGTCACAATCCCCGCCAGTTTGGAATTGTGATTAATAGAATGGTTATTTATTTAAAGGGAAAAATTTACAGATCACCGTCCTAGACAACAGCCCTCTGTGTGATCAGGAAAGGAGTCTAGTAGCCAGAAGCGGAGCCAGAAGCGAGAGCCAGCACACCACCGCTACTACTGCTTTTTAAAACAAAAGAGACCACGCCCAAGTGGGCTGGTATCTTAAAGGCTATTGGCTGAAGGAGTGGAAGTAGCTCCCACAGCAAGAATCACTTTATTTGGTTGTTTGGTTGGTTGGTTTTGGTTTTTTCAGACAGGGTTTCTCTATGTAGCCCTGGTTTGTTTGTTTTTATTTTTGTTTGTTATCAGTTTGTTTCTGTGTTTTGACTTCTGAAACAGAATCTCATACTTATATGACCCAGGCTGGCCTCAAACTCATGACAATCTTCCTACCTCAGCCTCCCACACCTGAGATTACAGATGGTGTACACCTGCACACTCAGTACTTGGGGGATGGAGAGAGGAGGTTGTGGCTTCAAAACCAGTGTTGTCTCATCACACAGCAAGATGAGGTAGGCAGGGACAAAGCCCAAAATTCTTAGAATAATTCTTTCTGTGGTGGGTACTGATAGGGGTGAGGCTTGACTTGTTATTGATTATAGATGTTTCCTCTCCCACCCAGGTCCTGTTCTTCCCTCCCCTCCTCACTGGTGTTGGACCTGCATTGAGATCTGAAGACTACTTCCCTTTCAGTGCCCCCTCCCTTCATTCTTCCATAGTCCATCGCAGTCCAGCTCCATCTCGGCAACTGCTCCTTGCAGAACCATCTTGATAAGGGGTCTCTTCTTTTTTTTCTTAATTGATTTTTATTGATCTCTACATTTTTCTCTGCTCTGTTCTTACCCCTTACCTCTTTCCACTTTCGACTTTAGCCTGTTTTCTCCTTAGTGGCATCTTCAGGACTCCATCTACTTTACATGCTACTTTTATGCTTTTGTTTGATGGAGACCAGGTGTCACTGTGTAGCCCAAACTAATCTCAAACCCACTCTGGAGCCCAGCTCATAAGCCTCCCAAGTTCAAGCTATAAGCCTGTGTCATCGAGCCCAACTGTTACTTTAATGTTATTTTTACATTGATTGATTGATTGTGTGTGTGTGTGTGTGTGTGTGTGTGTGTGTGTGTGTGTGTGTACATGCTTATAACCCCCGGGGCATGTGAAGATGAGTGGACAATTTGCAGGAGTCTCTCTCCTTTTACTATGTGGGCTCCTTGGGTTTGGTGGCAAGTGCCACTGGGCCACCTCACCAGCCCCAGTTTAGTGTTTAGACTCATGTGGTAGGAAGCACATGTGAAAGGCACTCGCTGCTGTGCCATGGTGCCTGCAGGGTCTTGTGCATAGCAGATGTGAGCAACACCAGATGGGAGGGGTTCTCAGCTCCTCAGATTACGGACATGGCTCTCAGCACGCTTTGCTGTGGGCCTGATGTTTACAGTGGGGGAAAGAAGGAGAGAAGTCAGTGATTAAAAAAGAAAAGCAAACTTCCCCATACAGCTTCCCTCCTAATTGGGAACAATAGAGGCATGCTGGAGATCAAAATGAAGCCACTTTGAAAAATTCTAACGAGCTAATAGAACATGGTGCTCCCTGGGGTGTTGAGAAGAAGAGTTAAGAGCAGCTGAACTCCAAAAGGAGTCTGCAAAACTAGGAGACAACCTGGAGTTGGCTCCAGACCCATTAGCCTTTTCATGCCCACAAGCAAGCAAAGCTTTGGAGGGATGGGCTGAGATCCGAGAAGCAGGGAGATGGAGGAAGGTCTTGGAGGATGACTTAACATTGCAGGACCTACTCAGCTGGGCTTCTGAGAACCCTCCCTCCCCTCCTTAGATTCCACTCCTAACCCACTTCATCTCCTCTAACGTCATGCCCACGAGGCACTCTAAAGACTAGTTGAAGTGGTTAACCAGTCTAGTAGGGTTAGCAGTCCATCAGAGGCCAAGACTTGGGTTCTTTTGAGACTTCTTTAATTTTTGGACAGCGATCTAC